TTTACCATTTTGTAGGGGCAGCCTATGATAAGTCATAGGTTCTCTAAGGAGAAGCTAACTTCTGACAGGAATTCCCCGGCGTGCCCCAGGTACAAGATATTTAATCAGATGATTATTCTTCATCTATGCTGATTGATCAGCTTATTTTTCTTCCAATGCCTAAAGCACTATAGAACACCATTGAATGAAAAATATCGAAAATTAAGTGTCTAAAAATGGTTGTTATATCATTTCACTGATTTCCAGTGAATGAACACTTTGGATCAAGTTTATGACTTATTTTTAGTCACCAATGATTGGACACCTAAATAGTTCTTTGACTTATGTTCATTACTTTTTAAAACGTTTGATTAATTTAATATTTTTAAAAGTAAATCTAACCTACTGAAAAAGGAATAAGAAAAAACCCATTGAGAAAATCGAAATAGGATGCTAACAGAAAATATAATATTTAAGAAAAAATGAATTGATTGATTGTGTTTATGAGAGCGTAGTTAAGTGCGCTGGCGTTTTTGTATTTTTTTTTAAGCTTCCGTCATTTTTAGAATATCCAATCCACTTGAATTAAGTTTCTTTTCAAACTTAAATTTATTCACACAGATTTGTGGCTGTACAAAAATATTTTATAATTATTGTAGATATTTGGTTTATTATTTTCAATAATCAACCATTGTGATTGACCAAAAAATTCAAAAACATAACCCTCTCAAGATTTGAGTTTTCACGTTTCAGGATCCATAGAATACGAAAAACGAATAAAAAAATTATCTCCTAAAAATTTCCTTTAAAAAAAAATCGTGAAAATCGGACATTAGGAGCAAAGGTATGGTCTCCAGTTTTTTTTTTATACGTTCTACTCCAAATGTTATATCCTTTGTTTGGTTTTTAAATTTTGAATGTGCTACTAAAGTAATGCTATTTTTTTAGCATATTACTAATGATTAAAAAAAAAAGTTTAGTCCAATAATTGGAATCACCTTTTATTTATCTTTCTTTGTAACTAGGAAGGTAATGTTACTTAAGATGTATAGTTGTTTGGAAATAATAACAGCGTTTTTTTTTTTTTTAGTAAGTACTAGTAAAACATCGATGTTTTGTTTTTAGAACCCTGTTCATCCACTTAATTACTATTCATAATTCACAAAATATGTTTTTATGCATTTGTTTTTGTCTAGTTATACTAGTTTAATTACTGATATGATTGAGTTGATCAACAAACTAGTGTCTACCAGTGTGTTGTCTGAGATTTGTTTTCTTTATCAGATGTAAATTATAGAAGAAAAAAAATGTACTGTTTTCTCCGAAGATGCCTGAAAAGGCGAATATATGGCTTATTTAATAATAAATTGAATTTATGGCAGTGACTAATGAGACCGAAATCATTACTAATAAATCCATTAAAGATTTTTAAGCCAGTCTATCTACTATCTGAGAGGCTCGCAAAAAAAATATTCATGAAGAGAATCAGATAAACTTCTAGTTCCACATCTAAAAGACAATTAAAGAAACGGTTCATCGAAGAAGAATTTTCGCTTGTAAAATACAATGCAAGGCCGGGGTTGTGAGTCATTCAATTAGAAGCGAATAGGCCGCGAGAGCTAAATATAGACACCATCACCAGGGGCGATAAAGTGGGTGCCGTACCCCTCTTCTAGGCTATCACAAGATCACTCCGATGCTCGTAACAAACCGTACCTTGTACCGTTGCGAATTCGCACCTTCGGATGTATTCAACAACCTTCCAAGATATCATTCAGGGCATTAGCTGCGATAGCGGCGGTTAAACGGCTTATCTTCAAGTTACGGTTAAGAGAAAGACGTTCTTATCAGCAGAGATAAATCTAAGGATCTTATCAATAAAGATAAAAAAAGGGTCGTAAAGCATAATTTTATTATCTGAATAATTCCCAAGTATTTAGAAAATACTTCATGACTAATTCGACTAGATTTTATTGAACATACGATGATTTCTTCCCACAATAATGTTTCTAACGTACCATGGAAAGCGCTAAAGATATAAAACACAATAACATCGGAGTGAAAAACATTCCATTATAAAAGACGACTATAACTGAGAAAATCTATAAGAACTGAAATGGATTCCTGAGAAACTAGTTCCAGGAAGACATCCAAGGACGCCTTCAGATGGGAGAAGGCCTCACTGCATCATTCTTCCATTGTTCTACATGAACCACATCCATCAAGAAACTATAAAGTACATTATTTATAATATTTCTTTTTACCATTAATAAAACATGTTAGAATAAATATTTAAAATTAGATTATAATTAATTGCTAGAACACATATACAATTCTAATAAAGACCTGGCTTCAAATTTAAACAGTGTGTTTCAGGGTTAAGTGCTCAAACTGCAAAAATGAATTAAGGAGCTCAAAACAAGAAAAAGAATTTCTCTGAAGGTATGCCCACAAACGCTTTGTTTACCAGATATTCACACGTTTAGATTTTCATTGTTATGAATTATTTACGTTATATTTTTTAGGTTAGTTGGTTGTATGATATAACAATTAGATAGTCGTAATGGTTATATCACGGTTATATGATCAAATCCTTATTCAGCAGACATATTCATCAATACGAGGAGGATATTAAACAGGCGTTGGATGGTCCTTCTTTCTTAACAAACCTGGGAAGAGGTACTACTGGGTCTGATCCTTCAACATGAACGAAACGATGTGACATAGAGCAAACACCGTGAGTTCCTTTTTAGGCTATGGTTTGACCGGAGGTATAAAATGCCGAGATTGCTCTGCAAACTCTTGGATCTTGAAGCTCAGGAAATTAAGTTATTTTTTTTAATATCATTTGATGTTATATTTGAAACTCTTTTGTTTTTCCATTGCACTACCTCCAAATCGACATTTTTCTTTGATCGTTTACGATAACTTAAAAATAAAAAATATAAATAAAACGGTTTTAACTAAAACCGATTGCGTTTGTTAATGTCCAGAAGAAAGGGAGTTAGATGGTTCTTCACCACAGATTCTGAACTTATGTTTTTATTTTAACGGAAAAGTTTTAACCATACGATTCAGCTGTATCCAGAGATAAGCAAATGCTGCTCTGAATACCGAGTAGTATTTCTTCAAGTATTTTTCTCAAATTGATTCATTATTGGGAATTAAATCACTACTTCAGTTGATCGTTTGACATCAACTGAAGTAGTAATTAAATTCTTTGGTTGTCAAGAAAGGTCAGTATTTGAGTAAAGTATTTGGTACTCCTCTAAATAAACTAATCAATAATCGGTTGATGTAATGAAAATAGATCAGGTTTTCTATTTAAAATTCGATAGTAGGAGGAGTGATTGAATCCAATAAAATCCAAAGTATACTCCAACACATTTTATTCACTTTGAGACTAAAATAGATCCGCTATTTATCTTCACAATTAAACTCCATTTTGATTACGTTATAATAATTTTGAATCTTCCACCACATACGATATCCAAAAATATTAGCACTACAGATAATAAAAAAAGAAATCGCATGGTTTAGGGAATTACTTAATCTGATAGAACTGCATCGATTAAATTTCAACTTAAATCGATCTACCCCCATACCAGACAGAAACGACTAGAAACCGCCCGACGTTTTCGACTACAGCAGCACTTAGCACTACATAAGACAAACGCTCTAAGCTCACAATCAATTACAAACGACTCATATAGATGACAATAATAAGACCTATTTGGACTTACGGGATTGAGCTTTGGGGCTCCACTAAACCATCGAATTCCTCTCGTATCCAATCCTTACAATCCAAAATCCTTCGTAAAATCCTCAACGCTCCTTACTTTGTCACAAATAATATCATCCATAAAGATCTTAATGTTCCATATGTTTCCGATTTGGTCCAATCCAGATACCCATCCTTAACAAACTGCAGAACCAACCGAATCCTCTCGTTTCAAACCTTGCTTCCTCCTCGATCACTGATAATCCTCTGAGGCGTCTGAAAAGAAGATGGTCTAGGGACCTTCTAATATAGAACTTTAATTTGAGTTCTAACAATGGGTAGTTTCTCTTCATGTTGTACATGTCATGTTACCAATGTCACATTTACTTATTGTATTTTCCATGTAATACAATACAGTTGTAAATCTCAATAAAAAAAAAATAAATAAAAAAAATCGATCTAACTGTGATGATGTTAAACTATGGAGAGCTAATTTATATTTACTAAGAACTCAAATTCAGAAAGAAATATATAATCAATATGTAATTAAAGTCCAGAATTCTAAAACTTTCACTTTTTATCCTCATTTAACTTCAGTAAATTATATTGATGATAAAAGCTCATTGAAGGTGATCAGATGGGTAATTAAGATTAGAGCTGATGTTTTGAACTTAAATTATAAAAACTTCAAGAAAACAAATAATAATTGTAGCATGTGTAATACAAACGCAACAGAAGATCTCTTTCACTTCCTGGCTGCTTGTCCGATACTCTCTGAATTTAGAATTAAATGGTTAAAATCTAGAAATTTGTCTCGGGATCAAGTAAAATAGATTTAATAAATGGAAACAATTGGATAGCATTGGTAAATTACTGCAAGTCTGCTTTCTCCTATAGAATAATGCTCACCAGAGAATTTAACAATTAATAAATTGGAGAATTTTGGTACCACTGTTTTTGTAATTAAAATATTTATATAACTTTTACAATTTAAATATAATTGTTCTTATTTTCCTATTAATTATTTGTAAATAAATGGATTAAAATATAATCTTGTTATGAAACACAAGACTCCTCTGATGGTGAACAGACCATGTAGCACGACTGATTTTCGGTTTTAAATCCAAAAATATTATTTCGTAATTTATATTATGTAATTTTGATAACTAAAAAGACTTTTTCTTCTTCTTCGAATCCAATAAAATGTGGATTTCGAAATATAGGATTGCTGGACCACAAGAAGTAAATAATCTGCAAATATCGATTCTGAAATATCCAAACTGCGGATGAACGGGGAACTATGACGTCTACAGCCAGTGCGAAGGACGAAGATGATATCATGGTCTTGTGCTTTATTTATAGTTGTCGTATTCTTGAGTCAGCCTCAGGCACCACCCCTCAGTTTCTTCCAACTCTAATAATATCTTCACCTTCGGGAGCGGCTTCCGTTCTCCGCCGATGGAGAATATTTCACAGTCTGGTCAGTGTTCACGAGGTGTGTTTATATTATCACCAAACGAATACCTCGCTTGGGAGGGCTTCAAATATTTCCTCCATTTTATTCGTCGCTTGGAATGCGGCCAACTTTTAGGGAAAAGAAAATACACCAGGTCTCACCTGTTTTTTTCATTGTGGTTGTCAGTCAACTGTTGGCAGAAACTGTCAAGCGCGTGTTTTATACTTTAAATACTACAAAATAGTATTTTTATTTACCCGTTTATTATTTTATGAGGAAGAGTTATTAAGTTATCATGGGGTTTTTAATGAAGGTATATCTTGGGTTAGTTTGTGATTTTAATTTACTTCGCTTTTGAATAATTCGAATTGACCAGTGAAAAAAAAAAAAAATAATAATAAGGGTGTGACGATGCAATATATCATGAGATGGAGAAATCTATTTTATTTTCTTTGGGTGATTACAACGGTTTTATAGACATTTTTTTTGGGGGGGGGGTATGGAATTCAGCAACATTTCAAATAATCATGGGTGTAATAGAAATTGTATACAACCTAAATCAACTAAAAAACGCAAGAAAGGACAAAAACGAAGAAAGCATTGCAGGAATCTTGGACTACCTACTACTTTTGGCTTTGAGTTTAACCCAGACAATTTTTTTTTCTTATAATTATTTTTTTAAATTTATTTATTTAGATATAATAATCTGTCTTGTGGACAATAATTATAGTGATATATGAACACATTCACACCATATATAGAAAAAATATAAAATTAACAAAAGTAAAATAATAACTAAATAATAGTAAAAAAAAACTATGTAAAATAAAAAATAAAATAATCCCCAGCCAGGCTTCTCCGTCCAACTATAGAAGGAAAAACAGGACCCTGCGCTACTCTCTCAACCGCATCACTGGTACTAAAGCCGGTGGAGTTTGAGCGAGAGCGCAATTGTTATTAAACAAGACATATGAACACAAATGATAAAATAAATGGAAAAACTGAAAAATGTACATATCGAAGAGAAAGAAAATTACGCCTATTTCATATAATTTGACAAGAGGCACACAAAAAAGAAAATAAAAATTGATAAATAAAACTAGGCTTATAAAACTTATAGAGACGCTTATATTATACGGTATTACTAGAAGGAGAGGTAGGAGGAAAACCAGAGAAACAAATGAAATGATATGAAAAGTTAAAACACAAATGTACAGGAATCCGCTGTCTCCATCGTAGTTATTAACCATATTTTAATAATTTCTCATTAAATAAAATAAAGCGTTGATTAAGTCTGTTTTGATTAAAATTTTAGCTTCGTTACACGGAACATAGTGACCAATGCCGTTAAAGATTATTTATAGCCTGGATTTTTTATAACGACCGTAGTCGTAAGTATACTTAATAATAATATAAGTATAATAAATTTTCTTGTATCCTTCAAGGTCGTTATAAAAGATATTTGTATGTTTAATATATATAAAAAAATATATTATTAATTTCCTTTATGGTAATATAGTAAGAGATACCCCTATGTTTCAGAACCTAAGGAGGATTATAAAACTCGACCGCCATCGTTCGATCACTGTACAATCGCTGTAGGTCTGATTGATAAAATTGCCGGTGAAAGGGAGACCTACGAGAGGAATGCACGGGAGTGCTTTGCTTCCTAGTTACGAAAGAGCTATGCCGGCAATCCCCCTACCGAAGTATTATTACCCGCAGGTGTTGAGCATGGTTTCTAGAGAGCGGTTTATTATCGGTAGCGACGGCGGTCCCGAGATCACAAGTCAAGATAATCGGGAAAGACAGGAGCAGTTGTCAACACAAGAATTGGAACAGAGCAAGGCTAGAAGGGATCTGTCTCAGAGCCAGTAACCTACAAGTCGGAGGATATAAATTCTATTCAAAAATATACTCCTATGTTTAACAGAGTGTTTAGTTTTATTTCGGAGCTAATTTCGGTATTCGCTGTAGTATTTGGTTCTGAAAAAATATAATAAATAGTTGCGAATCTAAAAAAAATATTAACGGATAAGTAATTGGCAGCCTAAAAGATTAAAACAACAAAAAACTGTAATTCTATTTAATTCAACCCAAAATAAACCAATGTTTGTGGACCAAGTGATTAATTTTAAGGGGGAAAAAACGAGAAAATGGAATTTTGTGATGATTTCACATTCCTTACTAATCACTGATTTTTTTTTTTTTTTTATTAGTAAGTATAATATATTTGTTTAATCTATGTAATATGTATTCTAATTATCATGTATAAAAACTATATATAAACAATTTCGTTTAACTACGTCTTGTCGGTTCCTGGATTCTATATTTCAGAAGAAATAGTAGTTGCAATCAATCCTTTCAATTCCAGCATCTCACACTTTTCCATTTTTTGTTTTTTATACTATTACGTCTGAAATATAGAATCCAAGAAACGACCGACAACACGTAGTTAAACGAAATTGTTTCTATATAGTTTTTTATACATTATAATTATAATACATATTACATAGATTAAACAAATATATTATACTTACCAATAAAAAAATAAAAAAAAAAACAGTGTTTAGTAAGGAATGTGAAATCATCACAAAATTCCATTTTCTCACTTTTTGAATTAAATAGAATTACAGTTTTATTCCATACAAATTTCCTCGTCGAAGGAATTGTTTACCCCATTAGGATTTAAGGTTGACCTAAACATTAAGTATTGTATAATATTTAAATAATATAATTTTAAATGACAAGCGGCATCTACTGCAATGTCTTAATCTAACAAAGTTACTTCAACAGACGAAGGGTTTATATTAATTATATAAAATAGATCTATGAAGGGCGTGCCTTTGCGAAAGTACTTATCTTGACTCTAGTTCTGCTCAATAAACTACTAAATAATTCAAAGTTGCTCTTTAGACTGAATGTGCGATGATAGATAATTAAGAGTAACGAGATATAAAAAAGAGTGGGAATTCACTTAAGACTAACTGATTCTATTCTTAATGAATCGGATCTCTCCCATTTCCAATCCTTCCCCAATCATTAATAATACTGTCAAAGCTCTTCTAATGAGAATTATGGAATTATATAGATCTTTGCGGTGAATGAGTTAGTCTTGTTATATCCGCTAAAAGACATGAAACAACGGCACTAACTTCATTTCTATTTCTTTTCGAGATATAAATGCAACGATCCTTTGGTTAGATGTAAGATACACTTCATCATCTTTTAAATTCAAAAATAAATTCACTGAATTCAGAGCAAAATTCAGGACATTTAACTTTAGGAGCAATTGCAGGTTAACTGGGCAGTGCTATGTATTAACATATCAACTCTCACAACCATTTATTTAAAATAAGACAAAATAAACGCCCCTTAAAATTAAATATGGTTAAACTTTAAAAGTTAAAGATAAATTTGATTAACTATACTTACTTTATTGTCGAAAAAATGTAAATATATTAAATAGGGTACTAGGTGAGTCAGATACGTTGTAATAAAACTTAATAACTTCAAAATGCCAAGTGGATTGGTTGATGGTCTGTTTGTTTAACCTAATGTACTTTAAGTAAATCATATTGGTTGTTTTCTGGGGACTTTTTTTTTTTTTAATTCCTTACCTTTCATCTATACGGTTTTTTTTTCACGTGCCAGGGGAGAGGACGAGAAATTAATGCTAGAGTTACAAGTCCTTCTGGAACCGGGATTCTAACTCGTAATCTTCGGTTTATCAGGTTGCCGTGTAAAGTGTGTTTTAAACACCGTTAGTCATCTCGGTCTGCAAATAGAATGGTCTTTTTTGGTTGAATAATGTATCTGAAACTTTGTTTTTTCCTTTTATGTTTGAATTAGTTTTTATTACGTTATTGAATTAGTCTTATAGCGCTGCAGAATAGAAAGTAAATATAAAGTTTTTAATTAAAGATTAAAAAATAAATGATTCCTGAAAGTTTTTTTCTGACTGAGACATTTGGATCAGACCCAAAATAATTCTTTGGACCTTGACCTGAAACATTCTGTTTCTATCCACGATCCATTTAAGATCAGGAAGAGTATTACAAAAACATTTATTGTACATATCTTTGAATAACTAACAGAATATATAAGATGATATTTGTATAAAATACTATGGAGGAGATTTTTCAAGTACGGAATGTTAAAAAAGGTTTCGCATTTTCATATAAATTTTCAATTTATATTTTTTTCCACATCAATCTATAGTGGTAAAATTATGTTGGAAATTTCTTTGATTTCTTACATAATGTAGGTTTAAGTCTATTTGGCCATGGAAAAGTTAAAGTATTCCATTGTCTCCGGTTCATGAAACAAAATATAAATACTATGATAAAAAAATATATATAAAATTAATAAAAATGATAACTAGATTGCATCCTGAAAATCGAATGAATTTTAGTATTCCCCCTATTCTAGTTCCTCCCTTTTTTCCAACGCGCTAATCTTATTTTAGTAACGTAATTGTGTGTGTGTATATATATATATATATATATATATATATATATATAAGATAAAGACCGGAGACTGGCGATCAGATCAGATCAGCCTTAATACTATCTTCTAATGTAAATAAACATAACAACTGTATATAAGGCAGATTATTGAACGAATAAAGCAGTGTTTATTCAGAAGCCGTGAGTGTTGTTTCTCGATCCTTTTTCTTTCTTTTTTTTTTATTTTTGAAGTCCGCCGACGATTAACTTTATATATATATATATATATATATATATATATATATAAATAAGTTAAGCGTATATATATATATATATATATATATATATATATATATATATATATATATATATACATATAAACATAAAAAAATATTAAAATTTTACATTGGTTAATCTTCTTATTCAATGATCTCTTCTGCTTTTCAGTGCAGAGATTTTAGCACAAGGATTTCCATCCGTCGCTGTCGAGGGCTGCTCTCCTGGCTTCTGACATTCCTTTAACTTTAAGAATATTATTGAGATTATCCTCTTAAGTAAAACTTGGTCTTCCTCTAGGTCGTTTTCCCGCTGATTTAGGCTCCATATTTTTCTTTGCTGAACGGCGGTCATACATCCTCATTACATGACCGAATCATTGAAGCTGCCCTTTCTCTATTATCTGGTTGAGGGGTTCAATTTTGAGTGTAGTCCGTATCGTTGTGTTACGTATCCAGTTTCTCATGGTCTTCATCCCTATTTTCCTCAGATATCTCATATGCTTTGGGGGCAGCTGCGTTCACGTAGCTTAGGACCCAGGATTCGTTTCTATAAGTGAGGATAAAGATGAAAGTCGATAGATGTACGCTCATTTTTTTCCTTTTATCACTTCTCTCTTATTTAAAAGCTTTATATTGATGGCAGAGAACATCATTTCTGAAGAGGCGATTCTCCTATTAATTTCGTCTTTGAATTTCCTGTTCGCACTGATCCTCACACCCATGTATTTTAAGGTAAGAATCTGCTCTTTCATCTCCTTATTAATGCGAATCCTCAAGTTTTTCTTGTTTCCTGATACCAGCATACACTTGGTCTTGGAAGTGCTAACAACCGTAGTTCTTTTTGCTAACTCTTCTGTTCAGACACCTAAATTCGCCTTTAGAGTCACTGTCAGCAAAAGCAAACGATGAACAGTTTACTGGTTGTAATTTTCAATATCCAAATTGGTTAATACAATTTTGAAATTCTACATTTCTTATTGACCTTTAGGAGTAAGATTCTTTCATGTTATTAAGAAGATGAATACAATTCTTTCTCCCACCCTTTTATTAAATAAAATATTATTCTTTAATAATAATATTCGTAAGATGTTTCATAAAACGGTCCTTATAGCACTATTTATTTCTATAGTTATTTTAATGTATTTGCATTTTGTGTATTATGTAGAATGGCTGCTCTAATTTCTTAAGACGGTATTAAAATATAGTGATTTCTTACCACTTCCAATCATAATTCTGTATTATCTTATGAACCTTTTTAAGTGAAACTCAAAGCTATGAAATATTTATACTAGAATTTTTATATTTTTATATTCCAGTACTTAGGTAGCAAAAAAAAAAAAAAGTAAGCTTGAAATTATTTTAATCCTTTCAGTATTGGTCTAAAATAAACATAATAAGCTCCATCCCCCTTAAATTATAGTCTTGTGCATTTTATATCGTCTTCATTAAAAAAATTATATACTTAAAAAGGAAGATTGTAATCATAGCATTGTTTCATCGTTTTCAAAATTCACTGCTTTATTACCACTTCCAGCCATAATTCTGAACTATCTCATGAACCTTTTTAAGTTTAATTCAAAGCAATGAAAGTTTTATACTAGAATAGTATAAAAAAAAAAAAATGATTACGAATCTAATAAGAGAACATCTTGCAATAAGGGTAAGCTGGAAATTATTTTAATTTAGTCAGTATAATAAGCTTCCTTCTTTTTCATTTATAATCATGTTCATTAGATTAAGTTTTAAATTAAAAAAGTATATACTTAAAGAGGCAGACTGCAATCAAAAACACAAAAATACCACGCCGATTGAAAGTCAAGAAATAAAGATAAACAGAACTAAGAAAGGCTCAGCAAGACCTTAAAAAGTATCTAAGATCAGAAGAGAATCCAGGATTTAATTTTGGGGGAAGGGGGCTTCAGCGCAAAAGATTTTTTTTTTCAAGTATACATTACGATAATTACTTCTGAAGAAAGAAAGTAAATAAGTACCTATATGATATGATGTTTAAGTGATTCTTTAACTCCTATTAAATTAGACGTACAATAATTCTTTTAGAGATGATTTTTTTCATAAAACATGGTCATATTTTCCCATTTTTTTTTTGGGGGGGAGGGGAGGGGAGAGGGCTTCATCCCGAAAGTCTTTCTTCCCCGTAGTTCCGACAAGGAACACCTTAAACATATGTAAGAAACGAAA